CATATATTTTAGTTTTAGTATGTATATACCTGAACGTTGTTTTGTGGGATACAAATGGCCATCAAGTGAGAATGGCGGTGACGCTGCGGAAGGCGTGGTGCTGGCTGCGGGTGTCCGCACGTGACCCGACGTGTGTGCTAGCTACGGCAGGGCTAGCTCCCGGCGGTCGGTCGGGCTGGTCAGCCGGGGCGATCACCAGGCAAGGCCGACGGGCACCGGGCCATCCTCCTTTGCCTCTCCCTCCCAGTCCGCGTTTCTGGAAACGTTGAGGTATGGACAGCACCACAAATTTGATGTTTTCTCAAATTTGTTCTTCATCTAGGGTTTCCTAATTTTTGAAATTTGTCCAAAGCCCCCGCCACCACCGGATCTCTCGCCGTGCAGTTTAGAGGTGAGCCTAACAAAATGCTGCCTGACTATTATTACTCTGGTGACGCTTTCTTCATTTCACATTATTTTTTTCTTGATTCTTATCCCTATATTTTGTTTCACTTACCGATTGTTGGTGAGTCGTCATCATCATCTTATATTAGTAATAATAGTAGTGGTTGAATTTGGGATTAAGTGAAGAAATAGGAAACATATTACTGATTTTTATTTATGCATCTATGAACTGGCACTAAAGTCTCGGCCATGGCCCGATTCATTGGTCTCGAACTTTGGTTGGCCCGGTTGAAAAAACACTGTTCAAATTTGAATTGTTGTGTGAGAGAAAAACAACATTCGATTTGAAAAAAAAAAGTTGAACAAGCCAAACTTTAAGACAAGCTTAACGGGGCCCATGAGTTCATAGCGACTAAATCATCATATTTTGAAATCAGCTGCTGGAGCTAGGTTGACTGGGACAAAAATGGCCACAAGAATCTAAAATGTGAAAAAATCTGAGATAAAGACCATCGGCCAGAACCATAGCCAGGGTGTGAGTTTTTGTTCTCCTTCTATGTGTAGTGTGACTTGCTTGATGCTCAGATGGTCTAAAAGGGCACAAAGCAAGGTTGGAAAACTAACTTAGAGAGGTGAACTTTCACTATCCGTGCTTGTGATGTATTGCTAGTATTGGAGGCTTGGAGACAAATTGTTTAGATATATGTTGATGTTTTTCTCATTAATACGTGTAGTTTTTTCTGGAATTGTTTTGTGAAATTGTGGCACGCATTCTATATCACAGCAAAGGAAAAGGGCCGAAGAAAGCATTGAGCAAAGAGAAGAACGGATAGAAAGCAGCATGGGTACCGGGCAAGAAAGAAGAAAACACTGGTACGCACTGAGCAGTACTAATTTATGGATTGGATTTACTTGGTACTGGATATCTAAATTTACAAATTTTTTGAAGAAGCCCGACCTTTTGCTAGCTGCTGTTGAGACTTTAACTCATCATGTATCAATGCAAATTATTATGTTTGTCAAGCAAAAAAGATTATTGGTGACTCCACTGATTTATTTTGAAAACATGTTACTATTTATTTTCATGCTTCTTTTATTGCGTTTATTGTTTTCTGCTCTTGTGTGACGTTATGTGATGGAATTTTATATGTCCATAGCAACGCATGACAATCAACTAGCAAATCGTAAATTAAATGGTTGAGACGAGATAAGTGTTTTTCGGATTATATACATGGTCATATATAATTGCGTGAAACTTAAACTATGGAAAAAATATCATTGTTTGGTTGTTTTCATGTGCGTCTCCAAGATAAATCCGTTGCGTTAGCACGGGCATTATACTAGTTTAGAAATATTATTTGGCATCACTTATTCTTGCTCTTTGACATGCCTTTTGCTTGATTATACAATTCTAACTATGGTTTCTTGGAAATTTTTATTAAAAAATCATTAAAAATTATTACAGATTATCAGTGAACCCCATGAGTGCTGATGGCCTCTCATGCACCATGCCACTGTGGACATGTGCAGTAATTAACTCGGATCCCATCCTTGCCGTTCATGCTCACTAGCAGAGAAACGAATTTTGGTTCGCACTCTTAATCTGGATCGTGTTGAAGTTCGGGATTAATGTGAGCATTAGTCCTGGGTCTAAATTTTAGAGGCACCGAAGGCCCTTTTATCCCGGTTGGTAATACTAACCGGGACTAAAGGGTGACCTTTTAGTCCTGGTTGGTGTCACCAATCCGGACTAAAGGTCTCCCATCCGGAACTAAAGGCCCCCCACAGGTGAATACAAAAGGAGAACGCCCAGAACTTTGTCACATGTGTTCTGTAGATTGAAGCCCAACTGTATACCAGTGGCTGTGTTGTTTGTTTCTGTGTGCCTATAGTTCTAGCCTGACATGCATCCTGAAGTCGGAACATAGTGTGCTTGCTAAATACTGCGCCTGGGTTCGAAACTCAAGTACCACAAGAGAGGTCTCTCAGGATTTAAACTATTTTTTTAGTTTCGTGGATGGGCTTTAGTCCCGGTTGCAGACATTTAGTCTTAGATCCGCACTCCCGGTTGGGAAACCGGGGCTAAAGCCAGTTTCCAACCACGATTGAAGCACAACTGTATACTAGTGGTTGTGTTGTTTGTTTCTGTGTGCCTATAGTTCTGGCCTGACATGCATCCTGAAGTCAGAACATAGTGTACTTGCTAAATACTGCGTCCAAATCAGAACCTCTTTCTGTAAAACATGCAGTTAATTCTATGAGGCATACTATTTTCATCCAACTTTTAATGATCAGAAAACATCATTCTACTTAGCTCACATAAATTCTATATGTATACAGAATATCAAAATGACTCACATTTTAGGTTACCTGCTACACCTACACTTGTACTTTTTCTGCTGTTCCCTAGATATGTTGGAGATTAAAAAATGTGGCATGATTACAGTGCCAGGGCTGCACCAAACAAACTGAGGTACAAATACTATCTGAAGTGCCTGTTTGTGCCTTTCTAAACGGATTTGTGCGATTAACCTGAAATTGTATCTAACAGCCTGCTTTTAAATAATGATGATTTTTGGTTTCTATGATATCTAATTAATATTCCAAATCGCATTTATGGTTTCATATTAAGATTTCCACTTTTGATGTTTTGGTATGTCTGAATCAGGTATCCACATTTATCAGAGGATGATCTTGTGATCAATTGCCTGGTTGAAAAAAAAAAATCTCTGCCGGGAGACATAATCAGAGACACATGGGCCAACACCGATTACCAGAAAGTTCTTCCCCTAAGCAATTGCACAATTCCAATGCCTTGTGTCATCTGATGAGATATTTTAGTTTCGGATAATAAATGTATGCCCTTTTCTTGCTTCATTTCCATTTTCATATATATGGAAAATACGAAGAAAAGGTCGTAACAGACTAATAGGTGTCAGTCAGGTCATCTTCTCGATTGAATGTATAGGAACCATATGTAATATATATCTCTCTTTTTTAACAGAATTGTGATATCATTTAAAAGCAAATTACATTTATCTATTATCCATGCTATGCATTAACAAATTTTGCTTGCGGTTGTAGTCTCTACTCTTGTATACTCTCTACTCTTATACTAAACTGCATTTGTCTTCATTCATAATTATCTGTAGTCTATATATTCTCATTTACCATCTATATTCATGTGTATATGCTCAGCCTCAGTGTCTCTTTACATATAATGTCCTGTTCACTTGGCTTATAAGCTGTATTTTTTAGACAATGAACAATATTTTTCTCTCACAACAAATCAGCCAACAGTACTTTCAGCCATGTCTTATCAGCCGAGCGAACAGGTTAGTCCTTTGATCATGTTTGTGCTTGCACGCTCTTCCATATCATTTTTATTCTCCTACCCGTTCTTAACTTGGATAGTTGGATCTACAACATATTTACAAGGATAACCAAAAAAAATATCAAAAGATCAACCTGTCATGTGCTGATGAGTACTTAGCCACAAAAGTTATCAAGGGATATTGCAGAAATCATGCGCATAGCATGCATACTAGCTGTATCTTAGGACCTTAATTTTTTTTAGCATCCTATTATATTTTCTACCACAATCAAACACTAGTAAGTAGGCACTGACAATTCTCAAATGCTGCACTTCTACCCAGAGACAATATGCAAAAATCTTGGTTTATAACTGCCAGTCACAAAACAATAAAATGCTGGTCATGGTATTATGACCTGTGAATTTGACCTTATATAAAATAACATCACTGAAATACAATATCAAGGTACAACACCAGACCAATAAAAGCACAAGTCATTCACTGGCACAGTCCAAGGCGCGGCAACGCCGCGCCAATTTTTCTAGTGTAATAGTATTAGGCTCACCAGCCATCCAAACAACTAATTTTAGTTTAGGTTGGAAATTTTTTAGGACCTGTAATTTACAAGGGTTTTAGTCTAAATACCGGACTTTCAAACAGGCCCTTAATCAACATTGAATTTATTATATCATGAGTTAGGACAAATTTTGGTCGTGTGATCAAACACCCACTAAAAATCAGCGACTATGAGCCCAAGAAGTAAGGCCCTATTTGGAATTCAGAAATCCAAGATAGAGCAATGGAAAAAAAAAACATAGAAATGTGGTATGGTGTAAAACGTGAAAAATATGGGATTATAAAATACAGAAGGAAAAGCTCAAGAAGCGATAATAAAAATACACATTATATTTTAGTGACAACATTAATAACATGATGAAAGATGATTTTTTTTTTGCATTACTGCATTGCGCATGGGACCAATATTCTATTAATTTGTGTCATCTTTATCCATCGAGCTACATATGCACACAACACAACACTAGAGAAAACTTGAGTTAACAGTGGATTCGTTCCTGCAAAATCTGATTGTAGCTACAGTACTTCGTATGAAACGGATAGCTCATTTCCTTTCTTCAAAACTCCGCTTTGATTTCCTTCACTTTTTTTTTCGTATATAAAAATCTTTTGTCCAAACATAGCCCTAAAACACATTTTTTTCAAACCAAAACGCGAAAGGAGGAAACGTTCCTTCCGTCCATTCCCCCTCCCGACCTCCCCCAACGGTCGACCCGTTAACCCGCAATGGCCGCCGCCGCCACCGACACCCCCACCCCAGCCGGCGGTGATCCCCGCCCTGGACATCTCTCCCGGTCGCAGGAAGATCGGCGTAAGGAGGAGGAAGGATCGGATGAATCGGAGGAAGAGGAGGTGGAGAGCGACGATGGTGAGGAGTCGGATGTCGACAGCCTCGCGGGCCTCTGCGACCTCGACGCGGGCTCCGACGAGGACCCCACCTTCGACCCGGGCGCCGACGGGGACCTGGAGGTGGAGGCTGTGCTGCGGGCCAGGATGAGCAGGATGTCCATCTCGGCCTCGGCGCGCAAGGGCAGGTTAGGCAGCGGGGTTTGTCTCCGCTTCTTCCCTTCTCTGATTGGGTATCTCGATACAATTTGTGCGATCGTGTGGTAGATCGGAGATGGGAACTCGGTCTGCGATTCTTGCCATTTATTCATTAATCCCGTTTGTTCGGGCCTTGGGTTCAGCAGTGCCGAACTGTTCACGATTCCTTATCCCGTATTTCTATGAAAAATTTCACGATTTCAGGAAAGGGTCAGCGGTGCCGAAGATGGGAAAGGAGGAGACTGACCTTCTGGCCATGGTGGACAAGCTCATGCAGGGTGAGTTCTTATTTCCTTCTAATAATGTGATGCACATTGGTCCAGAGATGGGACGGAAAGGTGATAATGCATGCCTTGCCACTGCCAGTGGAAATTTGGTGGAAATGACATGAGAACCTACTACCAACTTGGCTAAAGAAAATTGTGTTTCATAACCAGCGGTGGAGCTTCTCACAGGCCAATAGGGGCTATTGCGACCCCTGAACTTGTGTAAACTCCATTAGTTTTTGCCATTTAGCTTGATAAAAAATTAAAAAAATAGCCTTGTTCTTTTATGATTGGTCCCTTCTAGATTTAGGCTCAAGGTCCACCACTGTTCGTAACAGCATGTACAGAAACTTGAAATACAACTTGTTTTGCATTACTTCATTCATTTGATACCTTGATGCAGCAAATGAACTTTGTTGTGTTCATATGAAGTTTAGAAACTAGTGTGCGAAGTTTGATTGACATACACACAAAAAACATTTGAATTTTGCTTTAATCATTGTAGTTTTAACTTTTAAGTACAAGCAAAGAACGAGGTCATGAGACCATGCTGGATGCCTGGACCTGTTTAAGATATGCTACAGTTCCATGGATCAATAGTGCAAGTTTTTCCTTTTTATTTAGTGCATAATTTAGTTTCTCATATGAACATTCTTGCAATGTACAGATGGTCAGCTGGAAAAATTGAAGGTTTATGAATGTAAAGCATATTTGCGGATGCACAAATTAAGGTTGACAGGCAAGAAGGAAGTGCTCCTAAATCGAATAAGAGAGCATATAGAGTATGAACTGTGTAATCCAACTGTGATCTCCTATTTTAAAATCTTAATCTTGAATTTTTGTTGTTGATAATCCATAATGCAAGCAGGCTATTGGCTTTGTCAGAGCATGTTCCATGCCCATTGATGTACTTACACTTTCTTCACAAACATTCAGGGTGAAAAATGATGGAGAGGTGAAGTATCCAGTGTCAAGCTTTGTTCTGAACTGTAAAGGTGAAACAAGCTATTTCTGCACAGAAATACACATTTTAATATGGATGAGAAGAATGTGAACAGATTTATCAACTTTACAATACCAAAGAGAGTTATCACTAGGCGTGCTAGTCTCAGCATAGATTTTCTGTTGGTGCTTGGCCTAGCCTGCTGAACCCTTTGTTCAGAGGCACTGGCAGATAAGTGATTAACTTGCTTGCTTTGGTTAAACTTTGCTTGAATAGAACTCTCTGTATTTTGGTTTCTTTTTGGTAATGAAATTCAGGTTGCCTGTTGTGGAAAAAAAAAAGCTTTATAATACCAAAGGGATGATCTTATAGTTCAAGTGCTTATGGATAGTGAGCTTTAGAGCTCTGTAGGGATCCAGGTGTCTACATGGCCTTAATTTAGGATTTTCTGTTATATAAAAAAATATAATACTGATGTTGCAAGGACAATTTTTGCCTTCCTGCGCCATTTCTGTGAATTTTCTCTCTTATGTATCATATATAATTGATGTAGGTGATGCATGCAAAGGAGATGTTGTGATGTTTGAGCAGAACATTTACAAAAGGTAATTCAAATTAAGCATTTGTTCTGATGGTTTTCATTACAAATCATGAATCTTGAAGCATTATGTTTATTTTCATTTTTTGTATCTGTTGAGTATTGTTGTAGGGAAAAGGGAGCTCCTCGTGAAGTTAAGGGTCGCTTATGTGGACAAAGGACCAATGCCGGTAGAATAATAAAGGAAAGCTATGGCACAGCAAAGCAACAGCATACGTTCACTGTAAGGCTTTGGTTCTTTTATGAGCATGCATTTTAATTTCCTTCAATTACAGTATTGCGAAAACAATGTTCTTTGAAGTCATATGCATAAAAAATGTAGATTGAGATTTTATGGAGTAAAGGATACAAACCGTGGCCTCCCCTTCATCCGCTCCTCATCAAGGGAAGAAATCTTTACAAGGATAGGACTATGAGACAGGTGCATTCTCTAGCAAGGTTCTTTTGCGTATGAAGAAAAAAAACCTTATTATTTATTGAGCTGCACTGATATTTTTCAACATTCACAGCCATGGCCTGATGAAGAAGAAAGAAATAGGGTCATCCAAGAAAAACATGAAAGAGGGTTCTTGGCACGCAAGTCAAGAGCAGCCAGGATTCATGAAAAAGAGACTGAAAGGTTGGCAAGATTAAATAGGTAAGCTCTAGTACTGTGACATAGGTATTTCTAGGGACAATGATGGTGTTGATTTTGATGTGATATTTTGCGATAATGCCCATGATGAGAATTGTAGTCAGTTGTACTGTAACACATGCTAATATATTGTTTTGGGAACAGGATGAAGGACAATAAGATAAAAAAACAGTGGAACGTGAACCAAAAACAGCCACAAGAGCCACAACAAAAGGTTGAGTCCACGAATAATGTTAAGCAAAGGTACGTCAACTGCTTCCTAATGCTGCGATTCCTATCATGGTACTCATGAAAATGTTATCTTACTATCACCACTTAGCATACTTACATTAAGCAGAGCTGTTGAATAGCATGCCCATGTGCTTCTAATATGTTGTAGATATAGTTAGTAAAAGAAAATACTGTCTCTTAATACTATCATTCTCTCCTGTTACAATAGTGATCTTGCTTTTCTATTGCTGGGCCTGTTTACATTAAGCAGTACTGCTTCAATAGATATAGTCCATTTGCATCTAATATATATGGTAAATACTTATTAAAAGAAAGTGGCATCTTACTGTATCATTTATAGAGTTCTTGGGAATTAACATCTATGTGCTTATATAGCTTTTCTTTCATCTATTAGGGTTAATGGGAGGAAAGGCCCTTCCTTCCAAAATGGTGAACCTGGGAATACAAGGCAGCAACATGTATCTTCAAAGGCTACTTCTACACATCACAATGAATTGCTCCCACAGAAGGGTTCGGCAAGAACTTTCAAGCCAGAGCTCATCGATTATCAGGTCTCTTCCATTCAATATGGAGGAATGCAGCAAAAACTACTTTCAAATCCCACTCATACTCAGCAATTGTTCAAGAACTCAAGTCCTCACCAAAGTTTTCAACAAGAAGATGATGCCCTGACACAGGAGGGTGCAATTAGAACTTCCAGGAAAGCATTCATAGATCATCATGTCCCTTCCCAACACAATAAAGGATCAGGGAACACAAGCCATCACCAAATATCTTCAAAGCCCACTCCAATTTTCAAGCCACGACAGGTCCCCAAACATCAAGGCAAGAATGAAGCGGATGGTTTGAGAAAAACTTGCAGAGAACAATTGTTTGATCATCAGAGTAACACTTGCCATGCCACAGAATATGATAACTCTCCATTCCAACCTCAAGGTAAGTTCGCTCAGCATGCAAGTGTACACCAGCATGGCTCCAATTATCACCAGAATGCCCATGGTGGTCGTCAGGCACATCAACCCTACAGACCAAAAAATCAGGATCAGAATAGTACTTACTGTGACACAGAATATATTGACCCCTCGTTCCAGCCCAGAGGAGAGTTTAATCAGCATGCAAATGCATACCAGCGTCACTCCAATTCTCATAAAAATGCCCAAGCTCATCACCAAGTGCATGAACCCTTCAGACCAAGAAATCAGGATTTCAATTCAAGCGACCAATTTTTTGGCCAGGATTACCACCAAGGTTACCATGATTACAGTGGAATGACTCGTGGCCAGTATCATCCTCAACAGAGTCAGCATCAAAATTATTACGGCCGCAGGCCCATGACTCAAGGCCAAGGGACCCAACAGAACCATCATCAGAACTACAATGGTCGCAGGAAAATGATCCAAAACCAGTATAATTCTAGACAGAACCAACCTAATCAGCAGTTTCCAGAACAGCGACTGCAACCACGGCCTTGCCACTACTACTATCAACAGGGATGGTGTCGCTATGGGGAAGGCTGCTGGTATTCCCATGACGTCTGAGTGTTAAATCATAAGGCAACACGCTGGTGCAGCCCTGCTGTGGCCTCAGCTAACTTGAAACTTTGAAGTGGCAGATGTAATTCCAACTTTTGTGCGACTAATGTGGAAAGTTCACTTTTAGCTGTCATGTGAGACTTCAGCCATATGGATCTGTTTCTTTCTTTTCTTGTGTCACGCTCTTGTATTAGCAGTTCAGCAATATTTTGCACTGTTACGATATCTTACATATCGCACTCATGAGTATCAAATTCATTTGTTGATACTTGATTTATACGAATGAATTGGTTCATGCTCTTGCACTGAAATAACGATTTGAATCCTTGACCAACAGGAATACTGCTTGAAATGCATTTGCTAGCAAGTACCATGTTTGGGGGCAACTACAATCGTGAGCGAATATGTAAGAACAGTCAAGCTCATTTGTTTGATGAAGCACCAAACATTAACGGCTACATGGACAAAGGAATCAAGATGTGGGTAAGAATAAAAAATCACAAATATGGCCTTGTTTGGCTGCACCTGTATCTACTTCAGTCCATATATATTGGGGTGGAAAATTAACTAATTTCTACCACAATCCACTCCATCACACATGCATTGAGATAAACATGAGTGCATCCAAACAAACCCTACAAATCCTGACATGTGTACTAGCCATTGCTGACCGTTGAAAGTCTCTTTATCTAGTGTTTTCTCCAGTGCATCACCAAACAAATTCGGTGCTTTATCCAGGGTTGGCCTCGCTCTCTAGAATGCACCCTTATTCTGCGGTGCACACATCGAAGAGTTCTGGCGCTCTCTTCTCTTCTCAAGTCTCAACCACTTGTGCATCAAGTATGTACTATAACTCTAGTGCAAAACTCTGGTGATAGCACTAGAAAAATGTCATGCCTAGCTTCCAACTCTAATTTGAACTCGGGTCCATCTGTAAACTCCGGTGACCCCGCCCGAGAGCTTCGGTTCCACCGGAAAACACTATGTGCATCACTCTGGTGCTCCTCTAAATGTGTTCCTTCACGTCCAATAATTTGAGCTTCTCTTTTTTGATGTCTTGAGCTTCTTGCTTGCCTTTTGTGATCTTCATGGCTGTTTTTTTTTATCTTCAACGGCTGATTTTGCGGGGGGAAGGCTTGCCTCGGTTTTTCCCTTCCCCAGACCCCACTCATGTGGGAGCCTCCGGCACTGGGTCTGCCCCTCCCCACCCCGCCCCCCTTTTTTTTGAGGTGTTGATTCCTCGATCTTCGTGTAGCCTAGCTCAAGTCCATCTTTGCATCCTTAGGACTAGTGTACCTTGTATACTACCAAACATTGTTATTCCTAATGGTTATGTTGTCATTCAACCACCAAAATAAGTGGGCTCTTGCTAGGGTCCATGTTTCTTACACAAGTGCTCGCACAAGCTCAAAACATTCAAATATCACTTTCCAATCCAAAGTATATCTCGCTTTTTACACAAATCCCACACAGAGTGGATTGAGAGCTCTCACAAGAGGAAGTTAGACAACTTTGCAAAGCATCAACAAACACACAAAAGGGGTGTGCGAAGGGGTATAAATAGCCTTCCCACAAAACTTAGCCATTTGAGATCTCTGGGACAAAACTGAATCCCATTTATTGACTAAAATAGATATTCAAGAGATTATTGTGGCTAAAGGATTTAGATGGTGGCAGTGAGGAGGGAAATTAGCTTTGCCCTTTAGAATGGATAACATGCAGACAATCATTGAAGAATAAACACATAGGAATGAACTGTAGGTGAATGTTTTCATTTAAGCCAAACAAACTTGAGAGCTAATTAGCAGAGACCAGTCAAACAAACTGCACACCTTTCATTAAGGAAAAAACGAACACTTGCCTGGTGCAACTGATGCTAGATTAACACCATCTAGCTTCAAATGGAAGTTTGTACATGAACCTCCATACTTGCAAGTTCCCTAGAACACGAAGGAATTGACCACGAAATTCAGTGCCCTACTCTTGATGCATGTGTGACAGCTGGTAAGTTAACCACCAGCAAAGGTATTGTAAAAAGCGATAAATTGTATTACCCAGTGTTGGATGCTATCCTCGTAACACGTAATATAAACTCTGTAAGCCAACTTGTCCACTGAATATGATAATCACTGGAGACGGACTAACATGAAGGGCTTACAATTTTTTTAAACCCATAATCAAAGATGCTAAGGCTCTGTGTCCTTTCAAATTAGAAAATCATGTGAAGAACTTACAATTTATGCAGAACGCCTCATCATGACTTGAGTGAACACAACGAAACAGGTAGTACGAGCAGGTCCAAAAAGAATATTTGAACAGAAAGGTGGTCGCTTACCTTTTAAATATTTATACAGGCTGAATCGCGCACATGTAAAATAGCACCTGCAAAAATGTTACAATATGTTTTTTATCCAGTGTGCATACAAAGTAGCTTCAAGTTCAAAGTTCTGAAGCATGCAAAGTAGCACTAAAGGGCATATACAGATTTAGGTTTGGTGGGCACAGGCAGATAGATGCAACGAACTGCAAAGAAATAAGGAAGAAATGCGTGAAACATATTTTTGGGGCAACATTTAAAGAATCTCAGTATGCAGTTTTGCAAAGGATAACAACGACGGTTAGCAAATATGACAATGTTTCCATCAGACACGAATAGACCATGTCTTAAATCTGACCAAAATGTATAAATCAAATTAAAATGATGTACCTAGTTGGTATAAAGAGGAAGTCCCTGAGATTGCTGGATTGAAAAAATGTATTCATATTTGATGCTGCTATGAACTTGAGGTCTAGATAATCCATTCTGCCCAGTTTCCTTAGCCTGTGAATCATAGAAGATGGGCTCAATACACAGAATAATAAATCTACTCATCATAACTTAAAGCATCAACTGCAAACCACAGCAAAATAAGCCCAAGTAGGAACATTTACATGACGAAGCACATAAAGGAAATGAGCGCGCACAAATACAAAACTGAAGGCGACTTGCACCCTCTCCTATCTTGGAACACAGCCTCCTGGAGCCTGTATCAACACCAGGAGGAGCAACGGGTGATTTGAAGGCAGTGGAGGATGGTGCAAACTACAAAGCGTAGATGGGTGATGCAGAAAAGCTTAGCATGAGTAACCACACTGAGTTTTCATGGAGGTAAAGGAATTAAAATTAAAAATACTGTACACTAATCTGCATCGTCGAACCTTGGAAACAAAAAATAGTAGCAGCTTAATTAGGTTTGAGGTTTTAATGCAAAAGGAGAACATCACTTAAGTCAATTTCAGGGGCAAACTGAAGTAACAGGTAACAATGACAATATTTAACGAAATGAACCAATTGTACTAAATCAAACTGTGCGATTAATGCGTTGTTGGCTGTCCTTAACTCCTTTTATTAACCGTCAACTATCACATAAAATGAACTAATATGGACACCGAACTTAAAATTAGGACTTATAACTAACAAGTTCCACGAGTTTTGATGTTTACATATTTTGAAGGGCACATGCTTGAATAACAAGGACAACACGTCCAAAATGCACAATAAGACAAGGCGTAACATCACCCGACATGAGCCCAAGAGGAGAAGGCCCACTTACCAGGCAAATCAGGGTCCAGTCAAGTGGAGAAAAAAGGTCAAAACCTATATCAAATCAACTTCAAATGGCGCCAAACTTTGCAGGATCCATCAAGAGGCCCAAAGAAGACAACCCACCAAAGCTAGGCTCGTTTGGGCCCAGTTGGGGTGCGGCTGCACCCCAAGTGCGGTCGCACCACTTCTGGCGCCTCTCGGCCCATCTTTGGCGTGTTGTTAGATATCGCCTTTGCAATGGCGGGTTGGTCCAAGTTCAACGTATCTAGGACGTCGGTTTGAGGTCGGTTTGGTGCATTAATGAGGGAATCAAAGCATATTCCATGGGATCATTCCTCCTCTCCACCTATAAAAGGTCATCATTCAACAACACCTCAAGAGCAACACCAAGAGCACCAATCCAAGGGTTTAGGCCCTAGATAGCTAGCTAGAGCAAGTAGTTGGAGAGATATGAGAAAGAGCTTGGGGAAGCGCTGGACTTGTCGGTGTCTCTCTATACCTCAATGAACACATGCGCTATACTTCGTCAGGTTCTCCCGCTAAGTGAGTGTTCGTGGTTCTTTTGGTTATAAAGTCATTGATCAGTTAAACTTTACTCTTACTTGTTTGCGGGTTCGTCATCCGTCCTCGTGGTGGATACTCTAGTAGAGGGCTAACGGATCCCTGTACGACACTAGAGTAGTAGTCGATAGCGTAGACGTGGTGTCTAGGCTAGAGGCTACATTTGTTTGCCTCGTACTCCATGGTTGAGGGGTAGGCGGCAGGTGGTGATAGCCCTGTCCATCCCTTGTAATCTCCCTGTAAGGAAAATGGACCCTAAGCCCATTTACTTTGAATTTTGGTGTTTGATGACCAACACAACCAAATTGGACTGATGAATTTGCAAGTAATTATTTTGTAGTTCAATATGGTGCAAGACATGACTTAGACGAAGGCGACATGATGATCCCACGATCAACACCATAAGCAAGACCCTAAAAGTACAAGAGAAGACCCAAGATATTAAGCAAAGTCCAAGCACGAAGATGAAAACCAAACCGGATGCAAGATCGCGAAGAAACGAGCTCGACAGAGGTGACCGGACGTGGCCCTATGAGGATCGGACGCGTCCGATCAGTTGCTCGGCAACAGCAGGTGTTAGCAGCTGTGACCGGACGCTGAGCGAAGCAGTGGCCGGACGCACCGATGACACTGTTCTTCGTTACGGCAATGTTTTCAGCGTGACCGAACGCAGCGGCACTGGATGACTGGACGCACGAACTGCAGCATCCGATCATGTCCAGAGAGGTTCTAGAGCAGCGGAATTGCGACCGGACGTGTCCGATCGATGATGACCGGACTTGACAGTGCGTCCGATATCTACGCGAGTGCTCAACGGTCAGGACGACAGCAGCGTCCAGTCAGTAGCAGAAAGCTGTGT